TTAAAAATCCCAAAAATCATGAGTTAAAATTTCTAATTGGTTTTTCCTCGATATCTCCTGATCCGCGCGCTTTCGTGCGAGGTGCACAGGGAGCAAAGTTCGTCCTCTCGTCAAGGCAAACGTTTTGAGATATTTTTTGATAAATTCGAACGGCTAAAAAGCGAGATATGGAATTTTTTATATTTTTTGATTAAAAATTCCAAAAAAAATAATTTTCGTTTTATTGAAATGGTCGGGAAAATAAACGAAATTAGGGGAACCCCGTCGGACCAAAGTTGGTTCCTGTATTTTTCCCGACATTTTGAGACCCTAGTCGGGGAAAACGGACTTCGTTTGGACAAACGGCGAGCTCCAACAGATAGAAAAGGTGGAAGAAAATCAACCGGAAATTGAATTTCTTTGTAATTTTGTTTAAATTAAAAGAAAAACGAATTTAAAAATGTAATCCAATAAGATTTTCTTCTAAAATTAGTGAAAGGTAACAAAATTTTTCTCCCGTCGAGCAGGGCTTTGCGGTGTTCGTGCGGTTGCGCGCAAAACCCAAAACCCTAATCAGGGTGAAGTCCTAACCCCATTTTTGAGAAAAGCGGGTAGATAGAGGGAAGCCATAGCTTCTAGCTTCCGCATTTGTWACGGATTATTTTTTGTCAAATATATCCCGTAAGATTGTGGAAATTAATTCGGGAAGTTTTGCCCCATTAAATAATTCAGAATTATTTTACTTTTGATTTTGTTATTTAAAATCGATAAAAAAATTGAAATAAATATTAAAAATYGCGTAGGGGCATTTGTTTGACTTCAATGCTCTTCATATCTACTTTACCTATTTGAGGGACTTTTTTCCGAACCCCATSTCACCGGGGGGGGAAGGAAAACTGCTGTCGAAATTTCTCAAAATTTCCCTTTTAATTTAAATTTTTGCTAATTAATTAACAAAAATATTTAAAAATCGAGTTAAATCAATTTTTCTTTTTTTTCCATTATTCCTTTTGATATTCCCTCTTCGGTAGCGCTGTTTGAGGGATTCGTCCGAACCCCATCCCAATGGGGGGAGGCGAAACGCTGCCGAAATTTTAGTAAATTCCCCAAATTTTATTTCTACCCCTAAAAATTATTTAACTCGGCGGGCTTATATATGTATTGATCCTTAATATATATAAACTAAGAAAGAAATTTTATCTTAACTAAATACATTTTCTTCAATTTATAATTGAAAAATACAAAAGAATTCCCTAGAAGAAGAAGGGAAAGAGACGCTGCGGTAACCTGGTTTCGGGTGAACCTACTAGCTTGTTCCCGAAGGCGTGAGGCAAGCGACGGGAATTTTCAGTTATTAATCTACACCTCCCTCTTGCTGCATTCTCTCTAGTCGCCAGTTGAATGTGGCCGCGGATGCAAGTAGAGGTCTATGGGGATACCATTGACTGGGACTTGGAGCCCCCTGAACTCATAGAGGGGGATCTGGTCGAGCTCACGATCCCCGGGCGCAACATTCGACACGTTGACGGCCAATTTGCGTAGAGGTCCGACGGTTGAGTGAGCTTGGCTACTGATCCTACTCGACCATACTGGACCTGAGTGCAAGAGTTGTATGAAGGGTTAGCAACGTCGAGAGATGGGGTGCATCGGAGGGAGTAGAGTGATGCTGACCGAGAGTAGGAGAAGAGATGAGGAGTGACTCAGTGGCCTGGTTAGCTTATGTTCTCTCACGAGAGTCCGAATCGTATAGTGTGAGGAAGCTTGTGGGACCCAGAGAGACGGCGGTTGGATACGACATACCACTTCCTGTGGCGTTAGAAGAGGCATGGCGTGTACCGATACGATACTTGGGAACGTGGCTCGCAGAGGGGCTCTTTCTTTGGACAGTGATACTACGAGACGAACGACCCGAGAGGACTCATGATCTAGAAGGGGTCGGACATCTGATAGCGGATAGAGCACACGATTTAGAGATAGGACTGACGCTCGCAGGGGCGAGCAGGAGTTGGTGGAGAAGTGAGTCGTTGGCCAGAGTGATCGTTAATCAGCAACTGGCGAGACTCTCTGGAGGGAGGACGAGTTGGAGCTGCTTGGTATACGGTCCACCACATCCGAGAGAGGATTGGCGATTCGGACTTCCTACCTTCGTGATAGGGCAGACCTATGGGAGCGTGGACCGTTTGAGTAGAGCATTGGACCACACACTTTACGCGCTCTAGGAGGGCTTAGCGCCCCGCTTCAAGGAAGTATACTACGCCATTTGTGTGAGGTGGGGGCCGCCCAGTAGAGAGACGCTTGACGACATCATAGACGTTACTAGCTGGGTGCACGGTCTGAGGCCAATCGATCTGATTAGGTACTGCAAGAGACGGACAGAGATCGATTACGCAGGGCTAGAGGATGTGAGATTTCTCTTCGAGGCCGCAGCTTAGGGAATGCCGGGAAGGACGGCCACGGTGATGCGTGTAGGAGAGCAACTGGTAAGCGCAGGATACATTGTGACAATACTTCTCCGAGCGTACGTAGACGATGACTTGACAGCGAGTGAGTGCAGACAACGAGCCAGGGATTTGATCCACGAGCGTAGAGCTGATGTACTGGCGCGAGTGACCTTCGAGACCTCAATTTCCTATGATGTGATGATATGGTCTCATGGTTATATGCGTGCGGAGCACTACCACGATGCGACGGTAGCGGAGGCTAGAGCGAGGGTGAGAGGATGAGCTGGAAAAATATGTGGACTGAGTATGGAAGAGGAGAGTGAGGCAGTCAGAAGAGGGAGAAAGCGCGTTAAACAACCACTCTTGAACAAGGTAAAGAAGTTGGGGAACAAGTTAAGGGAGATTTGGTCATGTCAGGACGAGGGCAAGTTGTGTAGGGCTGAACTCGTGACGAGAGAGTTAGAGAATCTGTTTAGGGAGGAAAGAGAGATTATCCAGGCGTGGAGATCAGACTTTCTGGAGAGGGTAAAGGCTAAAAGCGTATCACGCGAAGAAACTAGTGAGCGATCTGCAGAGAGCGAGACAACAAAAGACAAAGTAACGCAGGGAAGTAGCGACAGGACATGAGCGGGACTGCTTTACACACGACGGATCGGTACTCATTATATGTGGTAGGGAGATTGGACGGACCATTAGTGTTAGTGATCATAGAACTCCAGCTCCATACCAGACTATGCATAGTTGAGGAGGCAGAGTGTGTCCGCCGCGCGCTGCATGAGGCTAGGGGAACAAGACTTTGGATTGGAATAGAAGGAGGACGGAGGATAAAATACGTACTCCAAGTGACACCTTTCGAAGGGCGGTCTCGGATAAGGGCATGGTACGAGACGACCAGAGAGGCTGAGAGGTTGAAGATAAGCGAAGCCAGGAAAGCTGGAGAGTTAGGGAGAGTTGTAACAGATGGTGCAATACTCAGGGTGTTAGCCGCTCACGACCGGTACTGGAAGGAATCGATAAAGACTTTAGAGGCGATAGAGGATGGTGGAGATAAGGAGGACTTTGAAATATTTTATAACATATTGGAGCGGTCGGCGATGAGGTTACAAGTGGTTATAGCACTAACTTACCTAAGCTGCTAGACAGATGACCTCATAGCCGTCTGGGAGATAAGGGAGTGGAAATAGAAATTGGAAGCTCTTGGAAGGATAATGGAAGCTAGAAAGGTCGATGGGCGACTTTGGATGGCAGTAGGAGGGCCTTTAGCGGGCTAACCGATTCAGGACAGGCCTAGGAGAACTAGCAAGGAGGACGGAGATAGACGCTCGGAGACTCTTGAGGGGTGTTGATCAGGAGACATTGGTTAGGTTTGGGACTGCGATCTGTCTCAAAATAGAGGTCCTGTCACGGATGTACTGCAGATCCAGAAAGGCACGGCCTTGTTGGCCGATCCCGAAGGAGAGGTTTACTTAGACACAGGGATTCTTGGGATAGAGGGAGAGCACGAGATCCGCGACCGGTACAGGATACTAGAAGTGGTAATCAAGGCGGTCGAGAGTTAAGATTGGAGGCGGACGCGAGCCGTGACAAGGAAACAGGTCCGGGCTGCCGCAATTATCACAGGTCCGGGCCGCAGCGACTGTCATAGGGTCGGGCTGTAACAGTTGGCTAGAATACCTAACTGCATTTTCTGGCGGTCCAATGGAACCCAACACGATGGGGCCACAAACGACCACGGGCGAAGCGGGAGAGGAGTACAGAACATCGCCCGATCGAGCTCTGAGGGATCTGAAGGAACGAATTAGGTGAGAAGCACCGTTGAGATGGGCTGACCAAACCAATGACGGAGGGCTCGACGTAAGGGGCGAACCAGTTGCGACAGAGCCGCAGGAGGCTCTAAAGACGGGTACCTCGAGCGGACGACGAGAAGCGACGAGGCGACGCTCCCCCGAGTACGAGCGGAGGGACACCATAGCGGACAGGCACAGAGACGACTGGAGAGAGAATTTGAGGGATTCCTATTGGAGGGACACATATAGAAACAGGGCGCCGCCCTGGCGAGTCTTCGACCCCCAGAAAGGGGAGTCACATCCGCTCCCTTACGAGAGCAAGGATCGCTATATTATTACGCACAAGGCCTCAGAGCCTCCTACCTTCAGGGGCTATGGTATCACAAAATATCTGGAGAATCGGAGTTTCACGCCAGCCGGAGTCAGTGGTCGGAGGAAGAGATTATAGAGAACTTCCTATTTAATGTGGACCCAAGTCTCGGTAGGGAAGTTAAGGAAGCTCGACCGAAGGATGAGAAATGGACTACGTACAAGAAGAACCTCGTTGAACTTTACAAATTGAAGGATAACAAGTATTTCATCAAGGACCTTAAACAATGACTTACGATGAAGATGAGAGCGTACGGACAATTGGGACGCGTTTCCAGAAGATCTCCGACGTGCTGATGAAGAAGGGGAAGATCTCAGAGGTCGAGCGYTGTACTATCTTCATCGGACACTTGTCCAAAGGTAGGCAAAAGACTATACTTAGAGATCTTCCGCGCGACAGGCTTGATTTTTCAGAAGGCCTAAAGCTCGCGATAAAGGCAGAGGCAAACGATTACAAGGATTTGGTGTGGAGAGGGATGAGGAGACGTGACTTCTCTCTCTACAAGGAGTATGCCACTGATAGATGTCCTGATTTCAATGACTATCCCTGGTCGGAGAAGAATGAGGCCGTGGCTGAGGAAGTGAAGGAGATACGGGACATGGTGAAGGGATTGACGAGACAGGTTACATAGATTGTGACCACTACAGGGGCCACGGCCTACCGGGACAAACCTGAAGGGCCCTATTCACTTCGCTGGGACCGTAGGAACAACGATTCCTGGAGGAGTGTCGAGGATAGAAATCCTCGGACGCTGACTAATTATAGTACGAGGGGAAGAGAGAGAGACGATGATCCATGGCAACGTAGGGATGATGAGATAGACCGAGACCGCAGAGATCGCGAGCCATTTGCGCGAGGAAGGAGGCTGGATGATTACCCGCGAAGCCCTCGCTATGAGGCCGGTCGGGGTAGAGGCGACTCCCGCGGCCGATGGGAGACAGATCACGGCCGACGAGATGGATATAGGGATGACAGATACGAGAGATCGGACCGAGATGGATATAGAGACGACAGATACGAGAGATCGGATCGAGACGGATATAGGGACGACAGATACGAGAGGTCGGGTCGAGATGGCTACAGAGGTGGTAGGTATGAAAGAGGAGATCGGGACTGGGAACGACGAGATGGGTCGCGCGGACGGTTTGAGTGCGGGGAAGATGCGAGAGAGCAGCGCGACGAGTCGCGGGGGTGGTACAACCGAGGGGACCGACGCGATGAGTCACGAGGGCGATATGACTCGGGGGACCGCCGGAATGATTCACGAGGGCGGTATGAGCAAGGAGGGTCTGGAGGAGACCGCCGCAACGATTCGCGCGGTCGGAATGAGAGAGGGGGATATGACGTCTCATCAGAACTACATCCCAAGTCGCCTGACCCCAAGGCACCCAGGAGTTCGATCTCTACAAGCGCAGACGACAGACCATCTACTCCCAGGAACTCATGCGTCTACTGCAGAGGAGAAGATCATATCAAGAGGGACTGCCCGGACCTCAAACGGGCAATAGATGAGGGACTTGTCGTGCTTGATGACCGCAAGTACGTCAAGTGGGCAGATGGTCTGGGAGATGTATCGATGTTCTCTTCGATGAAGGAGAATGTCGAAGCAAGAAGAGTAAAGCCGAGTAAAGAAAAGGAGCCGGTCATGAGCCAGAGCATCAAGATAACCTTTAAGGGGGATATGGCTACCACACCCATAAAGGTGGCAGCCACCAAGTCGGCGAGAGGGTCTACATCGAAGAAGACTGACACGGATTACGTGATGACGGAGAAGGACGGGCAGCGGGTCGATGGAGAGGAGGTTATCCTTTCGCCGCGAAAGAGGGGAGTGAAGAAGTTTTTAATGAAGAGTTCGCTTGACGAGATTGACACGGTCGAGCCATTGAGGCGGGCCCTTCGGCAACCCATGCAGTGCTCTATTCTGAAGTATCTGGCGGCATCGAAGCCGGCTCGTGATGAGTTACAGATGATCACGCGAAAGACTCGCATACCTCTATCGGAGGAGGGTCAGGGGGCCCCTAAGGCGGAAGCTTCTACAGTAGCAGTAACGGGGGTGACTGCGAGAGCGGATCGCATGGCGATAGTCCTTCTCGATGGAATGGAAGGTGTGCCTCCAGACAAGTTTTATATACTTGGTAGCGGGGYCGTGGAGACGATTATAAACGATGGAGCGATACTCGATGCTGTGATCGATAATGACAGTGAGGCTGTCATCATAGACGAGGACCTGGCAGCACAGGTTGGACTGGGCCTCGATAGGTCATACCTATTCAAGATAGAGACGGCTGATGGGAGAAAGCAACAGATCACTGGGGTTTGTCACAAGGCAGCCATARAGGTCCAAGGGGTACGATTGACCCTGCCTGTCGTTGCAGTCAAGAACTGCAGCTCCGACCTGCTCTTGGGTCGAACGTGGTTGAGCCACGTGCATGCAGTGACGATATAGCGACTTGATGGGAGCCATACATTGTCCATTAGGAAGCCAGATGGGACGCGGGTAATGATTGAGACAGTGGAGCCTCGGGACCCGAGGAACAGAGCAGCTCTCGCTGTGGGTGCGAGACCCAGTGATCAGATTAAGTCGTTAYCTATCTCCGGCCGCGTGGTGCGATTTCGCGAGAATAAATATGGACCACTGCTCACAGAGGAAGAAGGTCGGATCGTGGAGGTGGAAGATTTAGGGAGTCGGCTAATAATGGACGGCAACTCGTACCCAAAGGAAAAGGATGAGGAATTTGGCGGTGTGGTATCCGTGTCTTTTTTAAGGACACGGCCCCCTATGGGGGGCCACCCAAGCGACACAAGCGAGTAGCTCAAAAAGTTAAGCCAGCGGCGGTGGGCCGCGAGCGATCTGCACTGGAAGGGATATCGGAAGAAGAGATCGCGAAAGAAATCAAAGAAAGAAAGAAAAAGGATCCACAACGCCTAACGGAAGAGAGGATAGCAGGGATGGACATCGAAGATGGAAATCTGACCCCACATGAGCAAGAACGTGTGATAGAAATTTTGAAGACATGTGATAAGGCAATAGCTTTCAGCGACGCGGAGCGCGGTAGGATTGACCCTCGATACGCTAAGCCAGCGAGGATTTACACGATTCCACATGTTCCTTGGAATGACGCAGGATGGAAATACGCCCAGAAGGAGAAGGAAGAAGTTATCGCTTTCCTGAAAGAAAAGATGGTTTCCCATGTTGCGGAGCCATCTGATAGCGCTTATGCTAATCGATGGTTCTTCCTACGAAAGCCGAATGGCAAGATCCGATGGATCCAGGACCTTTAGAAGGTCAACGAGGTGACGATACGAGACGTCGGCTCCATGCCACACGCCGATTTACTGGCAGAAGGCGCAACAGGTAGGTCGATTTATTCGGTCTGTGATCTGTTCTCAGGCTATGATGAGGTACCGCTTGATCCTAGGGACAGGCACCTCACGGCTATGCATACGCCATTGAGACTAATACAAATGATGGTTGTCCCTATGGGTTGGACTAATGGGGTAGCCGTTTTTCAGAGAGCCATGGTAGCCGTCCTCAAGGACTTCATCCGTGATAAGGTTGAAGTTTTTCTGGATGACATTCCTATAAAAGGGTCAGTAGACAGGGATGAGACAGAGGTTGTACCAAGAGTTAGAAGATTCGTCGAGCAGGACCTAACAGATATTTGCGCGGTACTCGAGCAGCTGGACGATGCGAATTTAACAGTCAGCGGAACAAAGAGTCGATGGGCCRTCTCGACTATTAAGATCTTRGGCTTTATCTGTGACTCGAGAGGACGCCGAGCAGATCTGGCGAAGTTAGACAAACTTCTGAACTGGCCGTCACCGTTACATAGCCCAACCGAGGTCCGGCAGTTTCTCGGAGTGGTCTGTTACTGGCGTATGTTGATACGGGGGTATGCGGAGAAGGCTGAGCCATTGMGGTTACTCCTTCGAAAGACTGAAAAATTCTACTGAGATTCTTCGCAGGAACTCGCTATGCAAGAACTTAAAGACGAATTTAAGGAGGGAGAACGCGTGTTGGGCATGCCATTCTTTGACGATGAGACCGAGAGACCCTTCATAGTATCCACGGATGCTGGACCATGTTCAGTAGGTGGTTTGCTGTCTCAGAAGGACGCTGGAGGGAAGGAAAGACCATTAAGATTTGAGAGTAGGACACTTAATACGGTTGAGCGTAACTACAGTCAATTCAAGAAGGAAGTGTTAGCTGTTCTCCGGTGTCTAGACACGTTCAGACACTATATCTATGGGCGACAGTTCATCTTGAGAGTAGACCCCACCGCGGTTGCCTTTGTCCTCCGGAAGAACTTTAGTCTGACGGACCCGACCATCGCCCGATGGTTAATACGGATTCGGCTATACGATTACACGGTTGAGAGGATATCTGGTACTAAAAATACCGTGGCAGATGGACTTTCGCGCGTCCCTCTTGAGGCCGAGCGTCCGATAGTAGTTGGGGCCCTGACTATGGCAGTGCCAGGACGCACCGAGCGTTTTCTGGTTAATCTTTACGAGGGCAAATACCAAATGATCGGGCTACATTTGTCAGGAAAGGAGAGTCAAGAATCAGATATCCGGAAACAAGCGGCTCAGTACTGCCTTAGAGCTGGCCATCTGTTTCGAAGGCCGGGCGGCTCGGGGATGCCCTTACGAGTAGTCTGTGACCCTAAGGAGAGACAGACAATAGTTGCGGAGCTTCACGATGGGGTAGTCGGAGGACACAGGGGAGTCAAAGGAACCTACGAAAAGGTACGCATGTTGTACAGGTGGGAAGGACAGTATAAGGACGTCGAGAGGTATTGTAGGACCTGCGAAGAGTGCCAGAAGAGAGCTCTTGTGAAATACAAAGAGCCACTTCATCCATCCTATCCGACCAGACCAGGAGAGAAGGTACACATCGATCTAGTGAAAATGTCGAAAGGGGTAGGCAATATGAACTACGTCGTGAACATACGAGACGATTTCACTGGGTTTGTGGACGGTAGACCTATCAGGAGTAAGGCGGCAAAGGAAGTAAAGAACTTTGCCCTAGAGTACTTATCTAGGTATGGTTGTGTCAGCAAGATAGTGATGGACAGAGGGGCGGAATTCCTAGCCGACGAGGTTCAGAGCGTGTTCAGGAAAGCCGGGGCGATAGTTTCGATAACCACCGCCTATCACCCACAGTCGAACTCCCCAGTAGAGAGGGGACACCAGACTCTGATAGCGTAACTGTCCAAGTGGTGCAAGGGTAAGGTCAGTGATTGGCCACGATATTTTCGATACGTAATATGGGCGGACAACGTCACGGTCCGGGCTAGTACCGGATACCCACTGTACACCTTGTGGTTTGGGCGACATTGTCCGCTTCCCATAGAGTTTCACGTCGACAGCTGGACAACCGTCGACTGGGCGGAGGAGATGTCCAGAGAGGAACTCATAGCTGCCCGAACAAGACAGATAGCCTACGGTTTGGAAGGTAACCTTATGACAGCGGCAGATCGTCTGGCAGTGGAAAGAGACAAAGGTAAAGAGAGATGAGATAAGAACGTGAGAATCAGGAAAGAGAGGGTGAGTGTAGGAGATATGGTCCTTCTCTACGATGCAGCGCTGGAAAGAACCTGGACCAGAAAACTCGCCAACAGATGGATGGGACTTTACAGAGTGTTTGAGGAACTCGACTAGGGTGCATATATGATAACAGAATTAGACGGATCCAAGTGGAAGGACCTAGTGGCAGGTGCTAGGTTAAAGTTGTTTAGGCCCAGGCCCGCACCCATCTTATCGCTGACAAGCCCGCAAGGGAAAGGGAAGGCCAAAATGGAGGATGGAGCCGTCTCGAGACAATATGAGGCGGGAGAGAGTTCCAAAAAGAGGAAGAGGGTAGAAAAAAGAAAGGTCAAAGGATTGGCGATAGGGAAGAGGAAGAAATGGTTATTCATGCTCAAGAGAGCCAGACGGAGAGTTCGCATTAGACGAGTTGATGAGTCGGCACCTTTCTCGGACCAACATCAGAAGAAAAAGAGGATCCTACCAAGACCAAAATCCCGAAGAAAAAGGAAAGTCAAAAAGCGACTTCTTAGTCCCAGAACTCATAACGGACGAAAACATAAGACAATTAAACGCCGGTGTGGGCGTCCTTAACGGACAATCACCCTGAAGCTCGTCCGCTTCATTTGACGTAAGTGGATAGGGCTCGAAAGGGGCGTCGAGAAGTGGTCCGGGCTAACTGTCAGGCGGCCACAAGCAGTGCGCCGCCTGAAATCTGCGTTTTGGGGACTTAGGCCCAGGGACAAGTYCGTGTTTTGACGGTACTCTGGTATGACCAGGCAGCAAAAATTAGGGGAACTCAGGGCACCCCTCATTTTGGGCACACTGAACCTTACGACTAACCCTCAAAGACGGTGAGATGGGTAAGCGCAATCGGCATATCTAGAGACCGCTATTTCCAGTCGTTCAGAAGGTTAGACCCGGATTGGTCTGTCGCGAAGAGGCATCGCGGGAACTGACCTCGCAGCCACATTTTTGCGGCATACGACCTGGGCCGAAATGAGGCCTCAAATTTTTGTCTATTTTAGTACCATAATTAAAGATGGGGAAAAGGGATTACGACCAGTAGGGGAGAAGGGAAAAACATAATATCCCTTAATTTCTTTATTTTTTACGACATTTAATTCAAGGGGGAATACCCTTGTTATTTTATGTTCCCGGCAATAAAATTAAAAACATAGAAAAAAATTAAAAATGGTAAAAGAGAAAAGAAACAAAAGGAATTCGGCCATT